CTCCTTCTCATCTCCACTATACCTCCTCTTCACAGATTCCCGAGGCTGGCTGGCCCTCGTCAGTCCCTCTATAAAGCACACTGACTGTCAGTGCCAGGGCTAGGGAGAGGCAAGTGAGGCACCCACTCAGCACAAAATATTAAAGTGACAGGAGTGTGTGTATGAACTAATAATACTCTTCAAGTAAGTCAGTTTTTTTTAAGCCTTAGTACTTTATACCTTTTACATTTAAACTTCTATTACTTAAAGTCCCCCATATGAGAGCCAGTTTTTGGTTCCTGTTTAGGCGTAACTCAAAGGAAAGAAGGATAACATTTTTTTGTCCCATCTTTTATGTTACATTTTGTTCTACATTCCAAGTATTTTTTATCCCTGCTTGTTCCGATCACCTCTTCCCTGTTAAACATAGCTAGGACCAATCCTCAATAGACAAACTGCCATGTTAAAAGAAATCAGGAATAAAAAGCCCTGAATTTATTGAAGTCTCTAATTTGATTTTCATAGATTTTTTTTTTTGTAATTTAGTTGTAGTAATTGGTTCTGAGAAAGCATAAGTGGTTACTGTTTAGTACTAATATTTGTTCAGAAGGAAGCACCTGAAATTTGAATTTACACATTTTAAGTGTAAAAAAATTAAATATTCTCTCAATTGGTATTTTATTCTTTATTTCAAATGTGAGTGTTTCCTATATAAGGCCTGTAAATAAGGAAAAATTCTACCCAACACTGTCTTTAGGTGTTTTTGTGGTTGTGACTTTAGCTATGAAACTTATCTCAAGCCAGGGGCAAAGAATTGTAGCCATGTGGAGTTGTTATTCCACCACAAAAAATACATTTATAGAGGTAGTTATTGATTCAGTGTTAACCAAAAACTTAGCAAGCATGGATGTAGGACTGAGGGAAAAGTTGGTTATAAAACTGACAGTGTGAATCTATGTAAACTAAATGTTTCTTTATAAGTTAAACATGGCTGTAGATTTCTGTTTGTGGTTATGGGAAAAACAAAGAGGAAAATATCAAATGAACAAACAAGTAAAGACTGGCCCTGAGTAAAGAAAAGCACCAAGGAAACTGGTGACAATGGAAGAGAGAGTATTACTATATTTCAGAGGGATTATATTAAAAGTCACTAAAAATTCCAGTATCCAGTTTGATTGTACATATTTTGAAACAAAAAAGCTGAAATATAAAGTAAGTCTCAGAGAAGTCAAACATTTGCTTCTCTAAGCCTGGCCCTCTGTATTCATTCTTGAGGCATAGCTCTTTGGGTTGACAGGGATGCTTGCTCTTTTAAATACAATTCTTTGTCAGTTTTGTTCTCCCTTGCTGGAGAAACAAACTCCTTTTCCCCCCTCTAGCAACGGTTACTAACATGGGTGTGTTTACCGTGCACTGGCTAGGCTCTGAATGCTTTACATATAGAGTTACTCTTTAGCCTCACAACAGCCTACAACCAAGAAATGATCTCCCCATTTTGCAGAAGGAACTAAGGCACCAAGACATGGGGTTAACCATGTCACCTCCATAAATTCCAGACCTGGTGGCAGGTCAGAGCTGCAGATTGGTCCCAGGTCTTCACACATCCCCAAAACTGCTGAGACTGAGAATAGAAGTAACATTGCTAATTGACTGAACAGGGTCTTCTACTATCCTTGACAGGAAGTTTATCCCACAAGCACTTAAAAATATATTTCAATGAGGATGACATGGCCGAAAGATTGTGAGACCCTGTAAATTATCGAGAATGAAACCTGTGCTGAGTCAACCTCTTAACTTACTTTGCTTAGAGCACTATCAAAAAATTGTAGCAAGAGTTGTAGGAAAGAAATAAAAGAGATAAAATATGAAATCTGAGGTGGATCTGAAGCTGTATAAAGTATTTTAAATTCGACTTTTGAGGGCCTCTTCCTGCAGACTCGGTAGCATATTTCTGTAGAAAACTGGCTCCCAGGAATATGCCTTCGCTCTGGAAGATAAATCTTCAAAATAAGTTACAGATAAAAGCTAGCCTCTGAATTTCCAGCATTAAAATATAAAAAATCACATTTGTTTATTCAAAGTTTACAATCTTACCTAATGAAGTTTCTTATCTTTAAATATGAAGATTCTTATGCCTCCTGTATATATACATACTATATGAAAAATATTCTAGATTTACACTGTTCTGGCTAAATCTTTGCTGGCAGAGATTCTATCTATGTCAAATGGCAGAGCTCTCATTAATAATTTGCTGTGCTTCAGTTTCTAGAACATAGATACAATATTATATGCATCTCCTCACAAGATTATTCTAATAATGGAATAAAATAATGGCTATAGAAATATTCCAGAAAAGGTATAATGTGCCATAAAATGCAAAACTTCAGATCTATTCAATTGAGAATACACAAAATTCCAAAAAGATAGGATACATTTTATTACTTTGAGAAAGGACTATTTCCTTCTGAATTTGTTTCTTTCTACCACATCCTATGTTATGTAGATTCTAGTTTGTCAGTCCTCAGAAAGAACTCTACCTTTACAATTTCAAAGTCACCAAGTGCAACGATTCTAACCAAAGTGACCCATTTTAAAAGATGACCCATTTCAAAACCCATGAGTTACTATTCAGGCTGTTCTATATTGAGAATTAGAAAGTTATTTCCTTTTCCTACAAATCTCATCATTTAAATCAATCTTTTATAAAAGGAAAATTTGATCTCCATTTTAATGAGACATAATGTAACATTTATACTTGCTGGAGCCTGTGCTTTATTTTGGACATTCCTCTCCACCTTCTGAGGTTGATTTTGTTTGTTTATTTTTCATGGGCAAAGTATTTATAGACAGTATCATTTATGCCTGCCACCTAATCATTCCTCATTTCTCACTTCCTCAGCTTCAGCTTTAACTTTCCCTGTTACAACACTCATCCCTATCTGAGGTGTCTGGGTGAGGCCTGGGAAACAGATCTCTTAGTGTGAGTCAGCCTCATCCTCAGGGAGGCTCAATAAATACTCACGGGAGAGTGCCTGTGGGAGGGGGGAGGAAGGGAGAGGCAGCATTTCAGATATTGAATTTGTCTTGTTTTAAAATGAAAAAGAATTGACCCCAAAAAAAGCAGCTTCCCCTCCCCGACAAGATATATTATCTACCATAAAATTTTTCTGAGAAAATTGAAACCTCAGTTGCTCATCACCAATTCCCTCTTTCAGGAAGTTCAGAACGGGGATCTTTTCAGCGCCACCACTTAATACAACTACCTTCAATCATCATTTTCTGGGTCAGTTTCAGCTTCTCATAGTCCTCTCCCTTCCCCCACAGGGACCAGGTAAAGTTTCCCAAAATAAAGGCACAGAGGAACAAATCCAATTCTAATGGATGTACTTTCACCAGAGAATTACTAAATATGAGCTACAAGCCACTAACAGTCACTGTGGCGGTTACAGCATTGGTGTCCCTTTAACATGACCCCATAATCTATGAAAACCAACACTGGGGAATAAAAAAATACAGGGTGTGTAGTCAAAGGCGGGTGAAAAGTTGCTACTTTGACCTATCTGTAAGCGGCAGACCGTCACTTCAGGATGCAAAATAAAATTCGGTAGAGTCAAAGAAGGGGTGGCAAGGACCTCCCCGATAGAGGAGGTCTCCCTTCCCAGTTTCCCCTGCCTGCCCTCTTCCTTGTCTCCATTTCCCAGGCCAGTAACTCGCCAAAACCTTCCCCAATCCAGCGGTTTCCTAATTTCCACCCCACGCAGGATTTCCATCCGAATTCACCTCAGCAGCCTAGGGGTGGCAGCGAGGTTGGGGACCCCCAGCCAGAAACCGAGGCCGGTAGGGCGCGGCGTTCGCCTCTCGGCTCCCGCGCCCGGGCGGGTCTCGGCATCGTGGCGCGGCGACCGCATTGCCCGAGGTCCCCAGGGAGAGGGAGCCCGCCCGGCCCCGGGAAACTTAAGCCCAACCGGAGCCCCGGGCCCCCAGCCTACCTGCCGCACCCGCGCGGCGGCTCGGCCCGGGGTCACGGCCTCCCGGCGTCCGCGCCGGCAGGCCGGGGCGAACAAAGGCGCTCGGGGGAGCAACGCGCCCCCTTCCCACCGCGCTTTCGGGCGGCGGACAGCCTGCCCCGCGGCGGGGAGGGCCGCCCCGGCTTCCCGACTGGGCCGCGCGCGCCAGGCCGGGGGCAGCGGGCTGGGGCCCGGGTGGAGCGCATTCCAACCTGACGTCCTGGAGCCGCCCGCGCGAACGGGCGTGCCTTCGGCTCCTTGCTACTGTCCCGCTCTCGGCCTTTCCGGGACCTCGCCTCATCCAGAAGAAGGGGCTCCGAGTGTCCCTTCCCGTGGCCCGAGAGCGGCTCCAGCGAGGAAGCGCGGCGCGGCGACGCTGCCGGGCAGGGGCGGGGCGGAGGCTGGGCGGCCCGGAGCCCTCACTGCGGACGGAGGGCGCCGCGCTCCCGTCCCCGGCACAAAGGACGAGCCGTCGGGAGTTGAGCTTCATCCCCGCCAAGCGTGCTAGACCTCCCCCCGTCGGCTGATCCGAAGGGAAGGCACCAACACCCGGAGGGGCCTCGGCCCCAAGTCGGATGCGGTCTGCTGCAAAGCATTTTTTTAAATCGTACAATTAATCACATAGATTAATTCCTTATGAAACAACTGGTCTCAATACACTTTTCATTAGGAGGTAGAATTTGTTAGACTAATGATCCATTCTTTCAGAACACTCAACAGTTACTCATCGACGGGAGCTAAATTTGCCTGAGTTGCTGTTCTCTGATCATCTTTCTTTCCTCTTCAGAGCTAGAGTTCTAAGGGCAGACTAGTCTTTTTCAAAGACCTCTCGTCTCACCACTTACGCCTGGAACTCCTGGAGGCCTAAATCAAGAAAGAAGAAACTAAAGCTTCACTACGGCGGTTTGTTTTTAAAATAGAAGGGGGTGGGGAGATCACCCCGCCGTCTCCCCACCCCTTGATTTTACCATCAAGCCAAGCTCAGTTTCAAATGGAGCTTAAAGCAAAACTCACCGAGCCCAAGCGCAGCTCCTTAACTCCCAAGTCGGAAGTTGGCTCTCCTCCTGGCACTGGAGCGAAAATCAGTCGTCTCAAGAACAAAACTTACCCACTTTAAAACTCAGGCGAGGACTGGGTAGCCAGCGCTGGGCTCTGCCAGCTTCCCCGGCGGGGAGCGGGATGGAGAGGGCTGATTGAGGCGCACCCAATCAGGGGCTCCGGGCGGAGCGCGGGCGCGCTGCAGCCCGGAGCCTCCCGTGCCGCGCGGCATTAAGTTTCTTGCACCTCCTGGCGTCACTGCCCGGACCCAACCCTGGTTTCACCTCCGCCAGTGTGTTGGTGAAGGTGATGGGTCCCTGCCCAAAGCTGTTCCTGTCTGTGCTTGACAACTCCAGAAGTGCTTCCTGCCTCCCCCCTCCCCCACTCCCCCAGCCTCTTCAGTTAATTGAGATAATTTCTCCACGACTACAACCGTAAGAATCCGTAAGGAGCTAGAATCCGTAAGAATGTCTTTGAGCTGTTTGCCCCGTCCAAAATACCTAATGTTCATTACTAGACGAAATCAGAATGTAAGTGTCTAGCAAGGAAAGAGATTAGAAATAAATCCTTTATGGGTTTGGCTTCTTGCTCCTCAAATGTTGTTCTTGACGTCCCCTAATAGAACACTATCATTGTAATTGTCAGAACATGACAGAAAACAAAAGATTAACCCAACTAGTTAAGTAAAAGAAAAGCTTTGGGTTTGTTATTGTAAAAGGAATAAGACAGGTAATGCATTAAAAGTAGATTACTGAATCAGAGTTTGAAACTGTAAACACAAAATTGTATTTCTAACTAAAGTTTTAGGATGTTTTGTATTTGCATACTTTAAGCTCTTCAGCATATTTTCAACCATGCAATTCTTTTCATTACCTGTAGAGAATATGGCTCAGCACTGCTCTTATCAGCTCAGAGACTGTAGCGCCATATGCACGTCAGACCACAGAATTATTTATATACTGTAGCTTGTAAGGGAGTCCCTGACAATGACCCATAAATAATCTGATTCACTCTCAGTACAGTGCAAAAGGCCTCCCTTTACTTATGGGAAATAAAACTCCAACCATAATTCTACATACAATTTCTCCACAGCTAATCATATGTAAATGTGTTTATATGCAAATGTTCAATTACCCTTATATTCCTTTGCAGGTTGTTTGGAACTAGCCCTGCATAGGTCCACATGTCCACACATATGTGTACCACATGCAAGAACACATAGGACTGTACTCACAAGAAATACAAACTGACCTGAACGTTGGAAAACATAAAAATGACATATTCACATCATTTTACATACAGCTAGACATACCAGACAAATAAGTGATTTCAAAAGTAAGTCAGGAGATTAGTAATAGGATGTGGGGCTTTTGGTGGGAGGATGGGAGAGGGTGTGGATGAGTGATGGAGATGAGCAGAGTGACCTAGAACACACGCATCACATGGTGCCCCCCCACCTCACACATACCCACATCACACGGGGCAGGGAGCAAGCAGCCTGCGAGGCTCCTTTGCCCATCTGGGAGGATTTCCTACAGCAGGCTGGCTCTCCATCCTACCTCAAGGGGGGAGGAAGAGTATGATAGACTTGATGATACAGAAAAAGTACTCAGTTTCTTTTATTAGTACAGAATGCATGAAAATTTTGAAATTAGTTGGAAATAATATTAGATAATAGTGGTGATGCTGATTTGACCAACACAAAGGACAGTGTCACCATACCTTCAGTGCCATGGTAGCTGCTTATGAGCAAAGACTGCTATGATTAGATTTATAAATGACTTTGAATCTCACCATCGGGAATTTGCTTCACAGACCACCAGAGAACTAGAGAAAGTACTGGAAAGAGAAACCTGTAACATAAAGGTGGCAAACTTGGGGAAAAAAAAGAGTAATTGCAATTTGCAGGTTAGGTTTAAAGGGGACAAAATAAGGCAGGGAAAGAGCAGAGGGAGAAGTAGGTACAGGAGAGAAGGGCACAGAGTAGAGCAATGGGGCGTGTGTCTTCAGTTGTGGGAGTGAAAACTGAAACCCTCATACAAGAGAGCCTAGGAGATGGTGAGGGTAAAAGAGACCCAAAAAGGAGACCTGTGAAACTGAAATCATGAAAGGAGAAACAGGCTTGATAACTGACTGGCTTCATGCCTCACACTACGGGAGCATATCAACATAGTGCCAGGCTTCACTTGTCCAGTTTAATTTGCTCTTTCTGGATTCTCTTAGACATGAGATAATCCTCACAGATCCCATACAGGTCTTGTCCTATGTGTGCAAACACACCACAGACTGTATCCTGCAAGCATTCCTGAAACCAGCAAGCATTCCTGCGAGGCCTGGGCTCCGAGAGAGATGGGGTGGAATCCTGACCTAGCTTCCTGCTACCCACAGGATCTGGGCAAGTGTTCCCATGGTAATTCCTGCCTGGAAAGGTGCCGTGAGGACTAGCTACAAAAGTAGTCACGTGTGCCAAGTGCTGAGCATGGCTCTGGGTCATCCTCAGGGCTGGGTGGACAGCTGCCCTCCTTATGCACACCTTGGGCTGCAAAAAGTGCCTCTTGCTTGGTCAGTGGCAGAGGTGGTCTTCATTCTGTGTCCACACAGTGTCACTACCAAAAGACCTATCGTGTTTCACATCTCCAGAAATACATTTTCTGCTAATACAGCATCACCAGTTAAATTAGTGCAACATCCCTATGGCTATGTGCTCCTCCTTCACTGCCCAACAGCCCCTTCCCACCCTACCAGCACCCTTCTGTGTGTTCTTTTCTTGCTACACTACACTTGCTGCTCAGTGACTTCATCCATTGCCTTTTATATTTATTTAAAATACTTATATACATATATATTTATATAAAATCATCCATCCCTGATTTATATATCTAGTGTAGATTTGAACTCCAAACTTGAATGTCTTCACTTACATGTGTCACATCAGTCTTAGAGTTAATATGTCTAAAATGGAATATCCAAATATATACTGTGAGCCAGTGAAGGGATGGTACCTGAATGCCCCAAGGGCCAGAATCCTCCTCCTCCTCACCAGTGGACCCAGCCCAGGGTGTCACATGTCAATAACAGTCAGTGGCATTTTGTCACTGTATAAATTGTAGATCTGTTTTCCCTAGTCTTTTGAGAGTCCTCAGACCTCTTGGGATGGAGACCACATCCTGCTCCTCCCCAGTTCCACTGAAGAACCCCCACAATGCCTTGCACAGAGTGAATACATATTAACTGCTGGTTGAGTTGAATTTTTGCTGAATCCTTCCCATAGTCATCAAACTTTCGTTCCAAGGAGCCTCATCCACAGTACAATGGCCTCAGTATACTTCTCCTTCAATGCCATCAAGAACCAAAAGCAGACACCAGAAGCACACAAGCCCCTTCCCTATGGCTCTTGCTTCTGCTCCTGTGGTTTGGCACCATTCAGCATCTCCCACAATTCCAGGACCTTGGCAATTGGATGAAACCATACTATGTACACCCAAGCTGAAAGAGTAAAAGACCTGACAGCATAAGGAGGCACTCACACCTACAGGCCATTCTCTGAACCCACTGTGTTCCATTCTCTTCTCCTCTGCCTCGGGGAGAGGCCCTCCTCAACTGATCATCTCCTTCCACATCAACACATCAGGGAATCTCTTAGAGGTCCTCAGTCTAACCCTCAGTAGGGGCCCAAGGGATAGGACAGTCTTGGAGAGGCAGCCCCTGCTTGGTAGGGTCTTCCTTGGCTCACTAGAGCTGTGTTGTGGATAGGGTGAGGCTCACTTAGGGAGGCGGTCGGGGAGAGGACTGGGGAGTGGGCATGAGGCTGCCACAGGTGTTGCTAATACTCAGAGAGCCCGAGCCCCTCTGACAGTGACCCCTACAATCCCGTGAAAATGGATCTCTCAGCATTTCTTCTTTCCCTACCTGCAGATCAGACATACACTCCACACCTTAGCAGTGCCATACAGGGTTCCAAGTTGCAAGGGGCTGCCTCTAATTCCACCATTTTCTCTCTTAAAGAGGAAGTTGTATCCAAATTGAGTGAATGACTGACATTTGTGTAGGGACAATCTTAAATGTGGTCTAATTAATACATATTTTAAAAGACAATTGGCACCAGCCCTGCCACAGCCATCTTATCTGAGCAAAACTGTTTGGATCCTGTGATGGGGAAGTACAGAGGAAAACAAGAAAATTAAAATGCATGAAGATATCAGAAAATAGTTATTGACTGTGAGATGGCAGGTATGTGCCTGGTCCCAATCTAATTATGTTAGAAGTTTTGTACTTCATTAAGTATCAGTGTGCTAGAATTTAGGGGACAACTAAAGTATAATTTTTTTATATCCCTTAATAGTTAATAATTACTAAGTGCTCATTGCCTACTTTATGAAACATATGTGATTCAAATTCCACCCAAAACCAATTCTAAAAGGCAGTTATAGGCCTGCCTGGGATTTATATGGAGTATTACTTAAAATATATGGACTATTAATTAAGAGTTAGAGTTTTGCTATACTGAGATTCTTCTTACAACAGCACTTATAAACAGCCAATTCTAAAGTCCTTGATAAATCATGTCATCTAAAAAATATACATATAATGAATCATTCTTGGTTGGTCTGATGGTTTAAGGTCATAAAGTCCAATAATACTTATTTGACCTGCAGATATAGGGCTAAGAAATCTAGAAAGAGGGAGCAAGTATCTCTAAGAGATAAGTTTCTATCACGTTAAATAAATAAACAAACCTTGGAGGAAAGGGACTGATAGAGCAATAGGGTGGCTGTACCTATTAGGGTGGCTATATTTTAAAAAATGGAAAATAGTGTTACCCAGGATGTGGAGAAAACTAGAAACCTGGTGTGTGGCTGGAATATGTATAAAATGGTACTGCTGTGAAAGCAGAAGGGTGGTTCCTCAAAAAATTAAATACAGTTACCATATGATCAGCATTTCCACTTCAGGGTATATACCCAAAAGAATGGGAAGCAATGAGTCAAACAGAGACATGCACACCACTATTCATAGTACAGTAGCCAAAAGGTGGGGACAACCCAAGAATCTGTCAACAGATCAATGGATAAACAGAGTGTGGTTTGTAGAAACAATGAAAGATATTCAGCCTTGAACAGGAATGAAATTGTGACACATGCTATACAACATGGATGACCTTTGTAAAACACTATGCTAAGAGAAATAAGCCAGACACAAAAGGACGAATATTGTATAATTCCAAGTACTTAGAATAGGCAAACTCATAAAGACAGAAAGTGGAATAGAAATTACCAGGGACTCAGGAGGAGGGAGAAATAGGGAGTTAGTGTTTAATGGATACAAAGTTCCTATTTGGGATGATGGAAGAGTTCTGATGATGGTTGTACAATATTGTCAGTGTACTTAACACCACTGAATTATACTCTTAAAAATTGCTGAAATGGTAAATTTTATGTTACGTATATTTTTCCACAATTTAAAAAACCTTTATAATCCCTTAAAATGTTATACAAATGCAGAAGATTGTTGAGTTAGGATTAATGGGACTGCATTTACAATCAATCTCTCTTTAAAAAAGTGAAGTATGAATGAAATTACTTTGTCATTATTTGTTACATTTTATTAAAGAGTGACCATCCATCCAGATAAACTTTAATAAAAATTTATTTATGCCCCATCCCCTTCCAAGAAGAATTTGAGGTAGTTTAAGCACATCAGAGTATCAGTAATGAGATCAAATTTAATCAGTGTAAGACAAAATATAGAAACTGAGATAAAAAAGAAGAGGAAACAGATGGGGCATCAGCTACAGGACAAAACTCTCAACTTTCAGCCTTCCAGGGGCAAGGGAAGTGTTTGTATACATCAGG